ATTAGGGGTACCGGATGATAATGTTGTTTCCTCTTTGTTTAGTACTAGTTAAAACATATCGAATGAATGGAAAGCTTGGTTGAGTGGAAATGAATGGGAAATGCGAACTACGGGAGAAAACTCTTCACCGCTTTTACTTCAACACAACTTTTGCTCTGAGTCATAACTTAACTGAATAAATTCAGCGAAAAGCTGCTACAGCTTCGGATTTCGTGCCAACGAGGGCTCTGAATAAAATACAAGAGAAGATTTGTAAATTCCTCCCAGTCGCCACATCAATTAATAATTAATATTTCTGCGAACATGATGCATCTGTTTGAGTTTTGCCGTCGAAAAAGGGAGATTATTCTTGCAAGAACCTTACATTTTCACAGACGTGGTGCCAATTTTCTTCGAGTATTTCGTCAGCACTTGGTCATTTCCAATGGATAGTTTGCTGTCATTGCGTCATCAGCATGAATACGTGAATTTGAATTTAGAAATGTGGAAAAGGCATGAATTTGTATGATAGCCTTTGATGAATTCAGTTAGAAAAAGAATCAGATGATGGCCAACTGCACTTAGCACTCTTTAAGCGTTTCGAACTCAGTTTTACATAAGTTAGGGCACCTGCTCTTTTGCGCACGAAGAGCAGGGGGTACGAGGGAGAAAGAGGCAAGGGATACATTATTTTTCCGCTCATAGAGGAGCATATTAGTAACAGTTATTCACGTAATGACCGAGCAAGTGGGCGCACTCTTCAGTTTACTCGTTAATTTTCTCAATTTCTATCCTCTCACTGTCCGTCGAAACGATGTGGTGGGCAACCAAGGCGTCTCCCACTAGCTTTTTTTGTAGGATCGAAAGAAGAACTGGTAAACACAGTGGAGTTGTCCGACGAGCACCAGAGGTACAATACCCAGGAAGTCTGAGTCTCATCCTGAAAATTAAACGGCCGCTTCAGGTTAAAGTAGATACTGCATTGTCTCTTTAAGCTTCTTTATCATGGTGGATGGCTTCTTTTTATCGTGACAGTGGGAGGTTGGTGAAGAGCTTGCACTTACTCGAAAAAGAACATCTGTGGGATAACCTACCTAAAGTATTCTGCAGACGGAGATGGTAGTGGCAAGTAGCACTCATACCACTCGCGCGGTCCTGGGTCCAAATCCCGGGTCAACTCGCACTCAAGCCAACGAATCCTTCTGCTCTAGGATGAATTGGTACCGAATTCGCATGGGAAGTTATGAGCCCTGATTTGTGCATCGGTTTGCCCCCGCATTTAATCGTATAGACACATCGCATTCAATAAGCCACTACGTCTCTGAATGGAAGTAGAATGCGTGCCGCATCCCACAAAGGGATTGATCCAACGGCGAAGACTTTATCCTTTTTATCTTCAATTCTTCCATGAAGCGTGTCACAACCTGCCACGTTAACCTCTACGGTGCGC